ACTGAACAGCAACAAAATAAACAGGAGACACTGGCAGGCTGATGGAATATCCTTGGAGAAAAATTGTCACTCTGACTTCTGTTCTATGCTTAGAGCCATGCTGTGGTGTAAAAGAGGAAACTGTTACGCTGATTGAGCCGTTTCTTTTTTGTCTTCATTTCATTTTTCTAGGTGGTCTATTGGTAAGTGATGCTCTACACTAAAATAATTAGCTCAAGTATAAATCTGAAAATCTGGGCATTAAAAACAGTTGGAAAACATGAATGCACACTACAGAGCAGGGAAAGAAGCAGCTTTAATATTCTGTCGACAGAATATTGTCATGACAACTTAAAAAATTCAAGTATCATCTTAGAAATCAGCAACTCAACAATGAACAAGATGAAGAGCTGCTGATGTCGATGATGTGGAAATACTGTGGACAAGGCAGTGCCGAGCAGGGCCAGGCTACTTCCAATCATGACAAAAATGATGTATACTCATGAACCTGTCAACAAAAATGGGAAATACTACGAACGAGGCTTTCTGAAGCATCACCAAGCAGTGAAACAAGTCTTTTAATCAGGGGTGTGTTTATCCTCACTACTGCATCATCTTAAATTAAACTATTAAATCATAGACTGCACTATGGCTGCACGATATTGGAAGAACATGCGATATGCGATACGGGTGTTGAATATTGATATATCGATATTATTGCGATATTTAATATTCCCCTGAAGAAATGGTATTTTCATTATCTAATCGAAGAAATACACTTTAATGTGGCAAAATACGCAGGCTATATGTATTCTGATCGAATTAATTGTAATTCAGGCTAACTATTATGTGGTGCGAACAAACTTCACAAATACTACTGCATACCTGTTGTAACAAAAAATAAAAAGGCATTACTCTCAATCATTTTATTCACATGTAACCATGTGTACAACATGTAATTGCCAAGAGCATCTGAACCAAGAGCTTTAACAGCTTTGAAACAAAACATTGCCTTGCTTGCCTGGTTTTCTATACATATTAAATAAATAAATAAAAATATTATAAAATCTTAGAAAACATAAAGTGCCCAGACTGTAAGTAAATTAGTATTACATCTTTTCAACATTAATGTAATAGCATGTAAACAGGAAAACGTAAACTTGTATTCAAACTCTATTTGTGCCTAACAATGTGAAAACAATATTACTTTAAGTTTTTTGCCAGAAAAACGAGCATGTTGACTTTGGTAGGTTTTAAACAAGTGCGTTGGCATGTAACATTTCCTGGTGCACTAAAAAGTCTCTCTGAAGGTGAGCTGCTTGCAGGTATACAGAGGTACTTTCTAGCTAGTTTGCTCAGGTGTGGGAAGTTGACCTGATGGAGTTGCCACCAAGTGAGAGGGTTCTCCTCAGTGTCTACTGTGGGAGATACCAGGTAGCTGTTGAGCTCTGCCTCTACGGAGTGTGATGGTACCACAGATGAAGGAGCTGGGGATGTTTTGAAGAAACTGCCTAAGGATTTTTTGGCCTTCTTTTGGATTGCTTCTGATGGATCCATGCTGTCATCTTGATTGCCTGCGTTTTGCTCCTAGAATATGAAAATATGAAAATTCTGTAAGTAAAATGTAGTTAGTAATTTGAATTTTTACTTAATCACAAATTAACATTTACCTTTGGCATAAGTGCTTCAATTTCTTTGAACTCAACTTTGATGTTGAGGATCTTGTCACTGCTGATGTAGCCAGCTTTGAATCTGGGATCCACAAAGGATGCCATGTCCAGAAGTTCTTGAGTAGCTGGGTTGTCATACTTTGTGTTCATGTAGTCCAGGATCTTTTTCTTTATGCACTTTGTTAAGTCACTGTCTTCGTCCTTTGCAGCAAGAAGAGAGGTGTTCATCACGTGTAGGACCGGTTTGACACATGAAACACTCACATCTCTTTCAGCAGAAAGGGCATCTGTGAACTCTTGTAGAGGCTGCAGTGCCTGGTTAATGGACTCCAGAACATCTAGGTCTTGCCAAGTGG